TGTTCGCATCATCAGTGGCAAATCCTTTAAATATAAAAAACCTACTTACAGGCTGTGAGTCAGAAGCGCCAGACTGTCCTTGCAAAGTTGGAACTGCCCCACTTTACAGAAACAGCCTTTGTGCACAGACATCATTGTAGTCTACTCTCCCAGTTTTCACATCTTAACAAATCATTTATTAATCATTTGTTTATGTTTTTGCAGTACCCAATCTAAAGTTGAGACTATTCATAATTTGTAAATGTTTATAAACATTTACAAATTTTTTTAGTATAAAGGGTGTGTAAAGGGTGGTTAATTAAGTTTAGCTAAATGCTTGGTAAAGACAGCACACATTGTAATTTGGGTGCAAAACATGTTTTTATTACCTCAACACTTATATTAGTATACTACTGTGTATCATTAAACGGGATATTCCTTGAATCATACAGCAAAAGGAGGGGGAAAAAACTAATTTTTAAGAAAATACTTCATTCATCATTTATCAAAACAATGCAATGTAAACAGATAGAATCGTGTTCCCTTATAGCAAACAACTGACCCCTGTAAACTGTTGACCTCTTACCCAACCCTTAAACCTACCCATACCACCAAATCTGAGCCTAACCTTACCCGTATCACACCTCAATAGCAGCAGAAGTGTTGTGCTTTAACAAAAGCTTTTTGTTAAAGCTAGCACTAGTGCAGGTCTTGCAGCCGCGGCCCTCAGCCAGGGGCGTAACATTTCCGTCACACGCTTGAGGTATTCAGCCAATCACTGCACTGGATAGCTGGCCAATCAGAGCACACCTCGCTTTTCAGACCAACGAGCTTTGTAAAAATCGACGCGTTACAGAAAGGCGGGGCATAGAGGAGAAACAATAATGTACAGTATGTGGAAAATAATGTGTTTTTTTAATCTTAAACCGCATAAACACATTTCATTACACCAAATACACAAAATAATGTTCTTTTTAGCAGCATCATATGACCGCTTTAATGCTCTAAGAAAGTAGTCAGTGTAGTTGGTGCTTTTCCCTATTAAATAGAAATTTGTACAGCACCACTTACTGGTTAGAAACTAGTTTTGCAAGTATTACTGTTCATGCAGTTAAAACAGCACATTATTTTCATTGTGAATTGTTGTCATTGTACAGAAAAACCAAAACCCACATTGACCATTAAACCTGCTCAACATGTGTTCAGACGAGAGAAAGTCACTCTCAGATGTGACATATATGGTGAAGGAGTCACTAGCTGGCGCTACATCTGGTATAAAGAAGGTTCAACCAGTGTTTTCAGAGAACTACAAGAACACACATTCTGGTCTGTTACTGAGTCTGACGCAGGTAAATACTCCTGTGAAGGATCAGAGACAGAAGGATCACGCTGGTCACAAATGAGTGATAAAGTTACACTGACAGTATCAGGTGAGTGTGATCATCTCTTCATAAACACACAAACACAAGTTTAACATGTTATTAATGAGTGATTTCCCTATTTCAGATCCCAGAGCAGTTTTAAGTGTTTCTCCACAGAAGTGGTTGACTGAAGGAGATCCAGTGACTCTGATCTGTAAGGTTCACATTTTCTCTACAGGCGGGACATTCAGCTGGTTCACTTTAACTGTCTCAGCAGGTAAGTTATGTGCTTCATGTGGTAATATCTGAATTAGCTGATTTCAGCTGAAGTCCAAAATACCATATAATATAGAATACATTGTCTGGCTTTACAGAGAACAGCCATCATTATCATCTACTCTCAGACAGCAGCAGAGGAGCAGGAGGAAACTACACTGTCAGTTCTGCTGCTCTAAATCATACAGGAGTTTATGTGTGCAGAGCAGTGAGAGAGAAATCAGTCTATAAAACACAGTACAGCAACACACAGCTGCTGTGGGTCACTGGTGAGTTCAAACAGAATTTAAACTATTGGTTCATTTTGAATAAAGAGAGTTTCCATGCTCAAATCTGTAACCCTGCAGCTGTAATTATCGTCTCAGGGGTTTCTCCTCCAGTCTCTCTGATCGTCAGTCCCAGCAGAACTCAACACTTCACATCTGCCTCTCTCTCTCTGAGCTGTGAGGACCAGCGTAACTCTACTGGATGGAGAGTGAGAAGATACACAGACCTCTGGGGGCTGGAAAATTGTTCTTCATTACGTCGAGGATCACAAACAGGATCTACATGTACAATCAGCTCCACCATCACATCAGACACTGGAGTGTACTGGTGTGAGTCTGAATCTGGAGAGAAACATCATCCTGTTAATATCACTGTACACTGTGAGTCTGTGTTTCTGTATTATTCATTTCACTGGTAGTTTACAATCAATGCATGAAGCAGGTTGATTAAACAAGTGCATTAAGCATCAGTGGACAAAAAAACATGCAAGGTTATCATATTATGTAATTATGCAATCAGTGCATTTTTTCTCTGTTTCAGTAACTGGTGTGATTCTGGAGAGTCCTGTTCATCCTGTGACTGAAGGAGATAATCTGATTCTACGCTGTTTATATCGACATAAACCCCCATCAAACCTCAGAGCTGATTTCTATAAAGATGGATCACTCATCCAGAATCAAACTACAGAGATGAGCATCACTACTGTCTCAAAGTCACATGAGGGTTTCTACTACTGCAAACATCCAAAGAGAGGAGAGTCACCCAAGAGCTGGATCTCAGTCAGAGGTGAGACTAAGAACTATAAACACGATTGAAACGTTTCTGTACACTTTACAGCACTAATCTAAATGAAAAAATATATCTCAGTTTCCACAGACTCAAGATCTGATGGTCTCAATCCCATGATAATTGGAGTGACTGCCGGACTTACTGTTGCAGTTTTGATCATTGTCTTCTTGGTCCTGCTGTGGTGCTACAGAAACAACAAAGGTTAAATTAATTTACCACGACACATTTGCAGACACAAGCACTGTTAAACATTGTGAGCTTCCATCCTACACTCTAAAAAAAATGGTGCTATATAGCACTAAAAGCGGTTTGTTGGCTTGTAATCATATGGGAACCACTTTTAGTGCTATTTAGCACCTATTTTTAAAGGTGTTTAATGCCATTTTGTCAAATGGTGCCATGTAGAACCATAAGAGGTGCCATATAGCACTTTTTCTCAACAATGGTGCACCAATCATAACTCATCCATGGCTCCCAGCATGCATTGCGACATGAATAAATTATGCAGCTGCATTGTCTTAGTATTTTCTTTTATTCTTACTATTTGCTTTTATTTTTGTTGTGACTTTTTACTGCCCTGTTTTGTGATGTTCAAAAATCATATAAAAATTATCAGAATATTTTGTCACCATTGCTGAGATTCACATGCTGATTCTTCATGTCTATGAGTGACAGAATTGAAACCTCTTTATAACCCATAATTCTAAAAGTGGTTTATACAATTTTCTCACATTGTCACGTAGTATCGTAGAACTGCAATAATATAAAACACATAAAAGAACTACAGATTTTGCAACCAGAGACTCAGACGCATGAAATTATTTTACCATAAGTTCCTTGCTATCACATATGTGCTTTATAAACACTATTGTAACAGCCAAAGAGAAACTTATTTTAACTTAA